TATATATATATATATAACTATAAAAGAGGTTGAAATATAGCCGAAGTTTGGTCTAAATAAAGTTCTAATAAGTAAAAGTAAATTTAATCGAACCCCATCAAGACCGAATGGAGTCATTCACAAGTTAGTACTTCACAACTCACAAGATTGAATAACACAAAACAAAAGAATGAGCAATAAATGTACTATACACATTCAACAACCACAAACCTAGACAAAATCTCACATTCTGTGTTTAAATAACCAACCCCGCTTCTTGGATTCGTTATTGGTTGGGAAAGAAGAAGGCGCAGGGGTCGTGGGGTTGGGAAAAGCAGGCGAAATGACTCGCGGAAATACACGAGAAAGTTGGGGCCGCAGGGTCGATCTCACGACCCGCTTTTCGCCTATTTTCACGTCGTCCGACCGCGAAGTTGGGAGACAAACAATAAATGTTCACGGTTTTGGGCCGCGCCGCACGAAAAAAACGGCGTCAAATGGACCCTTAGTCTCCATTCTATTGAACAAATAGGTCCATGTTTGGGCAAAACTTAGAATTATTGGAGGGATGCTAGAGAGCGAGCGAAGTCCCCTTATATGCTTCGATACAAAGAAATTGCAGTTGATTGTTCTTAATGATAAGAATCTTTCTTTTGCTTGAAACAAAAGGCCTATCCATAGGACTCCCACACAGTAATAATTCTAAAAAGACAATCACAAAGTTGTATGTATCCATCCTTTTAGAATCAATATTTGTCACACCTAATAAAAAATAAATACTACTTAGTCAAAAGCATTTTAATCCAAAACTAAACTTTTAAATATATTTCCCAATTTATGAAACAACTGATATATTTATCAATTTTTATGCATGGCGGTTATAGTTATAGATTTACATATTTATATATTTGAAGCAGTACTTTAATTGATTGAGTGTGGGAATCTAACATGAATGGTGTGATTCAATATATTTATATAGAGTTGATACGCCATTAACAAGTTTCATCATTTAACACAAATCTTGATGCATGACAGGAATCTCATAGAAGCTTTATGATTCAATGAGACGGACCCAATCATATAAAAAATAGTCCAATCTAAGTAAAGTCGAGCCCAGATCAAGTCATTAAACCACTTTTTAAAGATTTTTGGACAAGTTTAGAAGGTCAAATAGTTGTCAAATCTGACGAATTTATAGTCGAATCGAGTATCTCGACAAATTAAATCCAACAAGCCCATAATTACTCAATCTAACATCATCATTAAGGCATCCAAATATCCATTAAATTTCATATGATTGCAAGAAACTCTCATGATTGTCTAATCAAAATGATTTATATTTCTGCATTAATTGCACCCAGAACACTATAAATAGAGTCCAACCCTCTCATGAGGGGAGAGTTTGAGTATTGAGAGAGAATTTCAGGCTTTGAGAATGAGCTTAATTTCGTCGACCATCGTTGACCTTCTTCGACCACAGCAACCGTCGTCGACGACCAGTCGTCGATCACTGTCAATCATCATCGACCACCGTTGACTGTTATTGTCCGTCCCTGACCATTTTAGACAACTGCCAACTACAGTCAACTATCTCTAACCTTCTTCGACCACCACCCGTCAACTGCCAACTACAGTCAACTATCTCTAACCTTCTTCGACCACCACCCGCCGTCGACCACCGCTGACCGTCTTTAACCGCCGTCTACCACAGTTGACTGTTGTTGACATTCACTGACCGTTGTAGACATCTGTCGACCGTCGTCGACCACTGCCGACCGACATTGACAACTACTTATCGTCTTTGAGCACCACTAATCAAATGTAGTTAATCTACAATATAACTTGAAAAAACTAGTAACTCTTTCTCGTCTGTGTGAAAAAGTATTTTTGTAATCATCAATCAATAGTTGATTTTTATAACTGAGCAAGACTTTGTAATTTTTTTTTCATTTTTACGGTTTTCCAAGTAAAAATTTCTCGTGCCAGCACTGGATATTTTTCTTTCATCTGAGTGTGTCTTGAATTCTCGTGCAACGCTAAGCCAATAATCCATTAATCTAGTACCGTGAATTTTCTAACATGCATCAAGAATGATGTATCATTTTTTTAATAATACATATGCAAGTCAAATGGCATATGCCAAGTTAAGAAAGTTTTTGTTTTAAAGCAAAGAAGAGGAAACCCTAAAACTGTGAACCCATGCGCAATTCATTAGATTTTATTAGCATGAGAAAAAAAAGGGTTTGAACTTGGAAGAAACTGTCATCCACCAAAAAATTAGAAAATACAACAATTATAATATAAGAAGAGGATTTTTTTTCATTGTAGAATTGTTGTTGTCATCTCCTAATGAGAGATAGTTGTGTCATATCCAAATATCTTATTGATATAAAAATCAATCTTTTTGTTTATTAAATCAAATTTCTATCATTTTAGGCCCTCTTTAATGATTCCCTGTGTTAAAAAAAAAAAATCCTTCTCGAGTATATTTCTTATGCGCCTAATAGTTTAGCACGCATTTATAGAGTAGTAAGTCCAAAGAAGCTCTCAAAGTATATAAGGGGAAAATTCTCTCTCTCCCTCTCTCTCTCTCTCTCTCACACACACACACACACACACACACACACATAGTTGCAAGCATTAATCATCGAACTACTGTGTATCTCCTTTTTGTATTGTATCCTAGTCTTCTATGTATATGTCTCTCATGATTACTCATGCAATGAGAAAAAATTTTGGTGGTTTCTTAATTTTAAGTTAAGACTAAATGCATGTTTTCCTTCTTCACATGTTAATTGGCTTATGCAGCGAAGGGGCTAAACCACCACTCACAATAAGGAATTGACACATACATTGAATAGATGTTTTCAAAGAAAATGTCAATAATCATATGATGAGTGATACATTTATGTTGTAGGTCATGACGGGCTTTTTTATAGCACTAGGGAGGTTGTGATGCAAATCTAAATAGAGATGATTGTGTGGAGATTGATGTTAATAATTCTTAAAAAAAACTAGTCCTAGATGACAATAAACAGATGTTATGTTCATGTAGCGAGGAGGCTAAAATCATCACTCACAACAAGGAATTGATACACATGAAGGAAAATGTGTATCAACAAGGAAAAAACTAGTTTTGAATGATTGCAAACACATATTATTATGTTTGAATGTAAATACATCGATTAAAATATAATTAAAAAAAAATCAAAGATGTAGTCTAAATTGCTAACAATCAAACATACACTAGCGCCACATTATTTTAATAAAATTTTAATATTCTCAATAATAGTTAAAGCTATAATTAGAAAATTAAAATTGTGGTATTTAGGGCGACCCATTTTTAAGAATCCTCATATCCGTTGCGATCGTTTTATTTATTTTAGATCGTTTAAAGATGTTATTCCTATATAATAAGTTTTATGATTGAGTAAAATTTGAACTGTCATAATCGATATTATTTTAAATTCAGAGTCAAAGTTGTTTACTTAATAAATATTTAATGCTTTCAAATTTGAACGGTATATTTAATATAATTTATATATTTTTTAAAATTTAACATGTCTCATTATATATATATATATATATATATATAAGGTTTATTTGGGACAACTACAATTGGTTGGAGAAATAGTTCTGAAGTTGCTACTGTGAAAACTAATATACAAAAAAATTATATTGGCTATTATATATTGAAAAAATAAAAAACAGTCTTCTTGTAGTCACAAAATTATAGCTAGATCACATTACAAAAACAAACAAAATTTAATTTGAATTAAAGTCATAAAGTGCATTGTCCACCGCACTGCCAACATACCACTGCCCCCAAACCCCAAACCCACTCTTAATGAGAGAAAAATCAACATAGATTTAATCAGATAAAATGAATTTATTTTGAGATGAATAAGCATAAAAATTAATTGTTTTAAAGTAAATGTAAAAATTAGGAGCTTCACCTACTACGAGCACACTTTTTTTTATTGTTTTAGTATATATATGCAATTTTTTTTTAGCAAGAAACAATCAAACTTTGATCAAGAGTCATTTAGAACTCTGATTTCAATAAACTTATAGTAAAACTTACTGGTTTGATGAGACGAACCCGACAATACCAAAATCAGTCCAATCTTAATGAGTTCATCCTAGCTCAATACATTAAACAACTTTTGGGAGCTTTTCGAGCATAATTGAAAAGTGAAACGAGTTTCAAATCTAATAAGCTTATAGTCAAATCAAGTGTTTCGACAAAATAAATTCAACAAGCTCGAGATTGCTAAATTCTAACATCACTAAGATACTCAAATGTCGTTGAATGCCGTCCGATCAATGGATTTTTTTCGAGCAGTCCCATCAAAAGTGATTTATATTCCTTTCTATGTCAAACCACGATAGTATCACCCGACATCAATAGATGACCAACGTTTAATATGACCAAGCCATCTAAGGCTACTCTCTCTAATCTTGTATGTTGCTTGGCTACTCCAATTCCACTCTTTCATGAATTTATATGTTTCACATTTTTTCTCCAAGTGTATAACCACTCATCCACCTAAGGAAATCTCAACTCAATAACACTTAATTTTATCTTTCCTTTTTGCATGTCAATATTTTATTCCATAAAACATTGAAGGTCTCACCACCATCTTATAAAACTTTCCTTTTATTCTAAGCAATAATTTTCTATCACACAGTAAACCCAATGCATTCTTGCACTTCAACCATCAAACCTGAATTGTACTAATAACATCATCATCATCTATATCACCATAATTGTGAACATAAATCTGAGATACCGAAAATGTTTACTCATTTTAATGAAGTGATCGTCTATTGAGATGACCTCATTATTATATCTGCTACTACTAAAAATGTATTTCATGTATTTAGTGTTTGATATACTCTAACGACAGTATTCAGACTCTAAGGTTGATATTCATAATTCGAAATTTTTCTAAACTATATCTCTAGTCTTATCCACTAGAAGAATATCATCACCAAAAATCATATGCACTAGAAGAATATCATCAACAAAAATCATACACTAATTTACGTTCATGTCCAGAGGTCTAGTAACAATATCCATAATTAAAAAAATATATATATAGACTCAAAGCCCATCTTCAATGTAACCCAACTAAAATAGGAAAATACTTGGTCAATCCTTCTTGTATTCTAGCACAAGTAACAACTCTAATATACATATTCTCAACGATTTGAATATAAATAATATCAAAATCTTTCTTAAAAATTTAAATATAAACATGCTTAAAATTTAAATTATTTGTCATTGTCGAATCTTGATATGTCCATGAATCATACCAAATGAGCTGTTTGTAAATCAAGAGAGAGAGAGATAAATGAGTGATATATTTTGTCTTATTCATGAAATGATCTCCTTATTTATATAAAGAGAGAGTATAATTCATGATATTACAGTTTTGCACATATTTTAAAGCAGTGTTTTGCAGAGTATTCTTAATATTTTACATGTATGAGCTCATCGGTCTATTGTTCTCTAGTTCAGTTGTCTCAACTTGATTGGCTTCTGGTTGGCAAAACCAGTTCGGTCAACTAGGCTTAGTTGACATTATTGGTCGGTGTATATGGTCTAGTTGTCGACTTTGGATAATAGAAAATAAGACTTTCAGATATCCCCTATATGATTGGAGAATCTGAGGGATTGAATATTCTCTGAAGTCGAGTTCTTCGTGGTGCTTGACTTTGATGCATCATTATATTATTTCCGATCGAATGGTTCAAACTCAGATTGTTTCGTTGTCTTCTTGTTATTCTTGTAGCTTGATTGGCTCCGACCTTCCCGATGTAGTCCAACACTTCAAATATTTTGATATCATAATCATATCAAAATTTATTTGTGTAAAAGAAAAAAAAAATCAGTAATATTTGTTATGTGCCGTTAAGAAATTGATAGTCACATAAATAAATATAAATATTTAAGTATTAATTACACTAATGCATCAGAATCATTTATATTTCCCTTTTATATCATGTGAATAAAAGAGTTTGTCGTGCGGCCCACCAATATGACATGATAATTTTCACTACATTTAAAAAAATACATAGTAGCGAAATTTTTTATGCAATACTAACCATATTTACATATTTAAATGCATAACAATGATGTTGCAAATAAGCAAACTTTAGATCAATTGACATACCTCCTAGAATCTTCCGGATGATGCCACGTGGCGCCATGCTAGCTGTTTTCATGAATTCAAAATTTTTTAATACATTCTCGCATATAAATTATTATATATTAAATGGGCGGTCTAGATCGACCCGAAATCGCTATGAGTCGACCCGGCACCGCGTCCATTTAAGACCGCGACAGCATGCATTATACGATCGTGTCCACTCGATCTATGATGGACGGTCTTAATCGTGAGAGGAGAATTATATTTCTTAAATGGTATTATCGCCGACATGGGACACTGACGGGAATAGAAAGAGTCGTGGGGTATCTTGGTAATTTCGTAAAGCCAATCACCTGTTTATAAGTAGAGAGGATGAAGGTTTACACCTTCTCCTCCCTCTCATTTCTCTTTTCGCTGAGGTATCAATCGGATTGCTTCGTAGGGTGAGATTTTCTCTTCCTCTTTTCTTTTTTACAATCTTTGAAGTTTTCCGTTTAGTTTCTGTGAATCGAGCATGTTTGGTTTCTAGAATTTTGATTGGTATCGTTGACTGGAAATCCAGGTCCAACGAGTAATTAGGCTTCAGCGGAAGATTTTACGGGGCGCTATTATGTTGTTGACAGAAGAAATTAATATCCAGGTGAGAGATTCACGTTCTATTCTGGATTTCTCGCATAACTGGCCGATGAAGTTAGGGCCGCGAAGGTTGGGTTGGAGGGGCGTTGGCGGAGGCCGGATTGGAGCGGTGGATGGAGATTGTCGGATTTGCGCGGCTTCCGGGGACCTTTTGGCGCGGCTTGCTGGCGCGGAGGGGAGCAAGTTTGTGGGACAGATTGGTGGTTTCAGCCACGAGAGTGAGCACGATCTAGCGGTGATGGTGAGTGATTTTTTGGAGAATAGGAGTGCCGGCGAGGAGTCGATGTTCAGTAGTGACAGTGATTCCGGGATTTCTGATCCCAATCGATTCGCAGAGAAAGTCCTGGTGAGCTTTCTTGTCTTCCAGTTATACTGCATTTTTTAGTGGATGAATTTAATTTTTACCTTTGTTGCTAATAGTTTATTTTGCCCGATAGTTTTTCTTTCCATTACACGCTTGCCAATACGCTCTTTTTCGATGTGATATCTTAATACGAAATTTTATAATTCAGGGAGATTAATGTTTTTATATCCAAGTCAGAGACAATTTATTCGATTATTGTTGTACTTGACATATTCAGCAAGTTATTTGATGGTGGCAGTAGTTTTTCTATTCTATCCTTGTTTGTGAACTACTTTGATGATAGCGTTCAATGGGTTTTTCTTTTCATAACCCCATTATGAATCACTCTTTTTATCCGTGTTTATCTGGTGACAACCTTACAAATTATAATTGACTGGTGAGTTAGAATCGCTTATTCAAAATTTATAACGCTTGGAACTGTTAAAACATTTATTGGCTGTTATACATGAAGCACGTGATGATAGCTTTAAAACAAGTTAGGTGATTTTGCATAAATAGCTTTGTCTCATTATGGTAGCTAGATAAGTTGATGTATAAAAGCTTGGTATAAAGTTGTATGTCCTCAGATTGGCATGGAAGTATAAGACAATCTTGATTTTTTTTTTTATTGTTTGGTTTAGGGTGAAAGTGTTTAGAAAAAAAATAATTGGTAATAGAAGACGGAGAGGAGAAAGAAAGAGAAGAAATTAAAGAATTTTATTTTTAAGAGTACAGACTTAGAAATTACTAGTGAATACTAATACTGAATCTCAAGGGTACATTAGGTCCTGTATATAGACCACAAGACAGCTATGAAAAGCCTATACAAACCCCAATGCTACAAACCTTAGAACACTTACTTTATAAGTTACTTACTGCAATCTTCAGCTAAGCTCTAATTCCTATTACTCGCCTTCAAGCTAATAGATTCAGACTAAACTATTAGCTTGCTTCGAAGTAGATTGAATTGTTGGCAAGATAATAGTTTGGTAAGTATATCAGTTGTTTGATCTTGAGAGCTAATATGATGAACGAGAATTAGTTTATTTGATCTCTGATGAAATGATGACCAATTTCAATGTGCTTTCTCCACTTACGATACACTAGATTATTAGTCAAAGATGTAACAAATTTATTATCGTAGTATATCATGCTGGGATGCTTGACATGAACATCGAATGTCTGTATAAGTCTTCACAACCATAAGATGTTGGTGGTAGTTGCAACCGGAGCTCTATACTCCTCTCCAGTCGACGATCTGGCAACTATATTTTGCTTGTTGACATTCCATGAGATCAATGTTTGTCCAAGAAAGGAGCAAAACCCAATTGTAGATTTTTTATCATTTTTTTCACTTGCCCAATTAGCCACACATGTCCTCGAAGTTAGATCACCTTGTTGAATGACCAGTTCATGTCTCGGAGTCCCTTGAATGTATTTGAGAAGTGTATTAAGAAGTTGAAAATGATAGATTGTTGGTTCATACATATGTTGAGATAGATAATTGACAACAAATGATATATATGGTATGGTAAATTTTAAGTATTGCAGAGATCCAGTCAATTGTCGGTAGAAGTCGGGATTATTGAATAACTACATTTTTTTTGGCTGAATAGGAGCCTCAATAGGTAAGGGAGTAGCTGTTGCCTTGCAATTTTGCATCCCAGCCAAGCTCAAAAGTTATTGAACATGCATATGATGTTTTTAAAAAAATATACATTTTATATCTGTCACATCAGTGCCCAAGAAATAGCCACGGATCCTAGTTGTTTGAGCAGAAATCTTAAATAAATATTAGATATAAAACTGGATATAGCTATGATACAATTCCCTATAACTAATATATCATCTACATAGATTAAGACAAATATTTTCACTTTATCCTTATTATATATGAACAAAGATGGATCAACTTTACTATTAGTAAATTCATTTTCAATAAAAAATATAGATAGTATATTAAACCATTGTCTTGGAGCTTGCTTGAGACAGTAAAGGGCCATCTTGAAAAGGCAAACATGTTTGGGGTGCTGAGTATCTTGGAATCCCTGTGGTTGATGCACATAGATGGTATCCTAATGATTACCATGCAAAAACATGTTAGGAAAATCAAATTGCAATATCTCCCAATTATTGTGAAGATCTATAGTGAACAATATCCTAATACAATGGATTTAAGCAATCAAATTAAAATTTTCGAATTAATTGATCTCAAATTCTAGTTTGTAACCATTGAGCCACAAGTCGAGTTTTGTACCGAGCAACCTGGCCATTGGCTTTGAATTTAGTGGTATATGTCTATAATAAGCCAAGAATGTTAGGAGGAGGAAGAACTGAAGCCCATGTTCCTTAATGTTGAAGAACTTGAAAGTCTTTAGCCATAGCTTCTCTCCATTGAATATGCTTGACAACTTATGTATAACATGTGGGATCCGACATCGAAGCAATAAAGTATGCTAGGTTAAGTTTATGGATAGGTTTGAGGGTATCGATCTTAGATTTAGCGAGGATAGGATGAATAGAGTTCAGGACAGGGTGTGGAAATGGTGAATCAGTCGAGGAACTAGATTGCAGAATATTTGCAAACGGCTCATTCATATGCGGCTGGTTTAACGTGGACACGGGACAAGCGGTTGATGCCAGGTTCGAATTAGGAGTATCACTAAGTATGGGGATTGTGGCATGAGCAGGGGCATGGCAATGGAAGTAGAGGGATGTGAGGGGGAGCTTTTTGTGGCAGTGAAGGTCAGGCAACAACATCAAAGGCATAGGAAAAATGATGTTCATAGAAAAACCATATGGCAAGAGATAATTATCTTACCTGTAAAATCATGAAAAGTCATCTATGAAAGCAGCATAATATGTATATCCTTGGTGGGGCATGATTGGGGAGGGATCCCATACATTGGTATGAATCAATTTTAAATATATGGTGATGATTTTCATTTAACTTGCATGGTTGTTTATGACCTTTATTTAATTTGCAAGACAGACACGACGAAAAGCGTGAATGAATCTTGAGATCCTATGTCCTGGAGATGGTGTGAACAATCTCGGACTGAGGATGGCCTAGTCTTTTGTGCCATAAATCAGCAAGATGTAATCTTATAGCTGAAGCTGCAAGAACTTGATGGTTTTGCTGAAAAGTAATTGGATAGAGACCCTTGCAACTTGTTCCCTTAAGAGGAACCTACTCATTATGTGAGTCAGGGATAGAAATTTCAGTTGAGTCAAATGAAACAGTTACATTGTTATCTTTATTAAATCTTTGAATTGAGAGTAGATTCTGGGATATGGAGGGAACATGATAGATATGTGATGGTTTAAGCTTACGATTAGGTGTGGGGAGAAGCCCGTTACCCATATGCTGAATCCGAACTGCTTGTTAGCTACCAACCACAACTTGTTCATTGCCATGATAAGGTTCAGCTTTTGAAGTTGAGTCATGTCCGTTATGAGATGGGCCGTTGCTCCTAAATTCAAAACCAATTCCTGAGAGGTAGCGTTAAGAGCTTAGGGTGTTATTGTCGGAGTATACTCTAGATTCGTCTATGCCAACAACTTGAAGTGGAGTGACCAATGTAACATTACATATTTGATGCTTGATGTTAGGCCGGATGCTTTGTTTGTTGTTTTTGGAGTTTGCGGTTGAAGTCCCTTTCTGATGGAATGTGTTTCCTTTGTCACATCCTTTCATTCGGAAGTTACCACGACCTATAGTGACTAAAAATGCCATTTGATTATCAGTTATCTCTTCTTCCTTAGATTTTTCATTTGCCAAATTGATTTCTTCACTGCAAAAAAAGGAATAGAGATCATCCTAGGATGAAGTTTGGTGTGAATAGTTGTTTTAAATATGTTGATGGGAAGGCCATTGAGAATGTAGAGAATGGCATCCTCTTGATCAATATTGGAACCAACCGTTATGATGTTATCCACCAGTGCCTTAATCTCTGAGAGATATTGTGTCATTGTATTGTTATTAATTGATATATGGTGTGATTTATTTTTGCGTTGAATTACTCTTGATCGATTTTTGAGTCGAAGTTTTTTTTCAAGAGTTGTCCAAATTTTAGCAGAGGTTTGGAGATGTAATACATAGGAGAGGACAACAACCGATACAGTATAGTACAAGAATCTGAAAGGTTTTGATCCTAGGAGATCCAACTGGTATATTGAGGATTTGGAACAATTGGACCAACACTGTGTGGAATAATTTTCGGAGGGCGGCTATTGCTTCCATCAAGAAACCCATAAAATCCATTGGCTGCAAATATCTTGAGAATTTGAGCCTGCCGTATTGGACAGTTTTCATTTGTCAGTGATTATGAGTCAGTTGCTTGATATTAGATATCAAGAATTTTAGGAAGGGATATTGGTATTGGAAACCAAGTTAGGGGAGGTATGAAAATGTGATGTCCCAGAATCTTCCATTAGAAGGAAGGAAAAGTAGACAACAGGGACAAGAAGAAAGAATAAGGAAGTAAGAAAGGAAGAACCGACAGCAGCCCTTAAAACCAAAAGAAAGTTTGGAGATCAAGAAAATAAATGCGGAGAAGCAATACAAGAGAGGCCGACGTGGTGAGCGATCCGAACCTAGACCTTGCCATCGAGAGAAAGAGGAGAACGGGGAGAGTTACGTAGGTGACAATCGGAGGCAGTGTCACTCCAGAACTCGATCCATCGAGGGGCCTTCCGACATATGAAATGAGGCTGCATTGAGAGCTTGTGGCAGAAGAGAAGGTACCAGTGGCGGGATCCAAAATGAAGAATGCAGGTGTTCCTAATCGGAGAAGAAATCAGCGATGAGATCCCAAGAAAAGGGATCTTTCAAGACGGTGAAAAAGGGTGCAGCGAAGACTTAGCACTTTAAAAAAAGAGAGTAAGAGGCTTGAAAAGGAGAAAACAGGGGGCTCTTGTACCATAAAGACATGGGAATACAAGTGAATATTGAAACCAAATCACAAGAATAAAGTAGGTCCTATCCTATATATAGACCGTAAGAAAGCTATGAAAAGCCTATACAATTCCCTATGCTAATGACCTTATACCACATACTTTAAAATTTTCTTATTACAAGCTTTATTGAAGTTCTCATTCTTATTAGTTTACAGTATCATATTACTTCCTGAAAAATTGATGATTACTTTTTTGAGGAACTTCTAAATTAGGTACTTTTCTAGTATTTGTGCGTTTTATCATGCATCATGCTTGTGACTTATTTATGCTCTTACCTCTCCAGTGTATGTAGATTTATTTGCAGTTATTTTGACATTCGTTAAATTTGCTCATTGGTTGATGCATCCTTAACATAAAGTTACATGTACTCTTTACCTAGAAGAAAAATATAGTATTCTAGCAAGTTATTTGGTTGCTGCAAGTAAGTTCAGAAGTTAGGGAATGCCTGGTCTTTCAAGATAGGTCAATTTTGTTTCACATACATTTCAGAATAGGAATTTTTTTTTTTAGTCTTATACTCGAGTTACACAAGGTTTTATTTTTTGTTAACCTCCAAAATTCCAATTACTGGATTTTAATGTAAGATTGACCCTCGATGCTTCTGGTAGTTATGTTACAATATGTTCTTTATTTCATGATTTATTGTTCTTATAGAGCCGGGATAATAGATTAGTTTCCTCTCTTCCTAAGCAAAATGGTAGACAATTAATGATAATGATAACGGAACTTTTAAGAACAATATGATTGAAGTATGGATTGACTTAAAGGTACCTCAACAGGGCATTTATCGCTATCAGTTAAAGTCTAGGTTATCTTAACTAATATGCTATATTAAGAAGTAAAAAAAACCATGTTATGGTGCTTCTGCAACATTATCAATGTAAACCAGTTGGCGCTTTGTTGGATTATAGATATCTAATTACTTAACAATGTTTAACTTTGAGACTCAATCATTCTTTGCAGAAGAATATCATGTTAAGTTATGATCCTAATCACATTTGTGCCTTTACAAGTTATATAGGAAATATTTTTAAGCATTTTTTCCGGTGAGATATTTAACACCTGTTCAATTTAAATCATTGGCTACGAAACTTTTAATGGATTGTTATAAAACTGTAATTTTAACTATCCTCTATACTATTTACCAAATCTATCCACCGCAGCTGTTTTTTGCTCTCATAGTTGCTTCACACATTCTCGAATGTTTATCTTTTATCCTTATTTCCCCGTTTCTGTGACAAGCTTCTAGGCCCTTTTTTCTTGCTTGGATGAAGAGAATGTGGTGGTTTTAGCAGAAGAAGAGGCTATTTATTAGGACAGTATTAGGACAGTTTTTTTTTTTTTTACTCTAGCAAACTGAACATCTTTAATCATGAATTTTCACATTTTTGTGATTATTGAAGTTGTCATTAAACATCTCAGCAGTAATTGTTAGGACTTTAAGCTGTGAATTTTGAGTTTTAATCCTGTGAAGAACACTCGATGTCTCCTATAATTGTAATTCTCCACTATAAATTCATAATCCTAGTTAAATCTGTAGTGGCGAAAACAGAATGCAGCCTTCAAGCCATTGAACATTTATAATTTTTTGTGATTGTGTTCCTTGATCTTTTTTGTTCTCTCTTTTTTTTTGCTCTTAGTTTCTCTTATGCAAGAGTTGCAGTTTTTTAATCTAAACTAGGTTTAGATGAAAATACAAGATAAATTTATCATTATAAACCTGATGACTTATTATCTACTTTTGTAATTGAAGGAAACCAGACAGAATTTTATTAATGTAACCATTCCTTTCTATGTTGTGCAGTTCCTTAAAAACTCTGTTGATCAATTTGAGAGCGCACTATCATCATCTGTTCAAACTTATCTGCTCTCCCTCCATGATACCGACCTTCTTTCCTCCGGTGGCAGCCAATGCCATGGTCGGTGTATCAGGCAAGCACTGGTAAAGCTTCTTTGTCTTTCTGGCTACGACGCTGCTGTTTGTTCTTCCAAATGGCAAGGTTTTGGCAAAGTCCCTGGAGGTATTAGCTTTAACTCTTACTACATTGATATTCCCTTGTAATAATTATTGAACATCAAGCCCATCATTACCTTCTCATTCCATATCAGGTGATCATGAATACATTGATGTAATTCATTCTGGAAAAACAGGGAGTTCTGAAAGACTAATCGTCGATATCGACTTCCGAAGCCACTTCGAAATAGCTAGAGCCATTACATCTTATGATGCAGTTTTTAATTCTTTGCCAGTCATTTATATCGGTTCCATGTCCAAGCTTAAACTTTTACTACAAATCATGGTCGATGCTGCAAAATTTTCTCTCAAGCAGAACTCCATGCCTCTCCCGCCATGGAGATCTCTTGCTTATTTGCAGGCGAAATGGCAGTCTGAATATGTGAGGGTCTGCTGCCTTGATGCGCAGAGCAACCTTCTCTTCGATCCATTAGATCATCCGCGGTGCATTGGACGCCTGAATAGGCTCAAATCATCGCTTCTTTCTGATTGAAGCACAGAGGCAAGTTACATATACGAGTTATTTTAGAATCTCAAGCAGTTTTGAATTTTTTAATTCATTTTCTTACAGATTTAAGTCGAGTGAGGTTCAATAAGCTGCCATTTTGTGAAGGCGGCAAGCAGTGTGGTTCATTTAGTTTTGCAATTTTTTTTATTTTTTATTTTCTATACTTTCATTTTTGCTTAGTCCGTAGGAAAATTTGTTTGATGCCTTCATTTTGTTGATTTGTTTTGTACACACAATATATGGGGAAACGGATCTAATTTGTGGTTTATTGATGTAAATTTTGAAATTTTAAAAGATGTTATGTTTATTTCTTTTTTTCTTAACATTTTTTCCTCTCTTTTTTTTTTTTTTGCATTGTTTCCATTTTGATATTTTTACAACGGTAAGAAAATTATAAATTAATAAAATCACAAAATGAAGCACTTTAAACATCAAACCATCAAAAGCGCAAAAAAATAGTGTCCGGAGTATGTGATACAACGGAAGGAGCGGAGCACAGACCTCTATTGTTTCACATCTGTTGTTTGGACGCAGCTTTTCTTAGTTCGGACGCAATATTTTCTCCAAAAGTGCAGGGTCAGTTTGTATCAATTCTATGAATTGGGGGTTAGCAGCTCTCTTTGAATAATGTCCGTCATTCTTAAATTTTCAAATCATCGAATTAGTGAAATTTATGATATGCAAATTATTCGTGGCATTCATGGAAGGGTAAGGCCGCATTGTTGTGAAAAAAATGACGACAATAAAGCGACAAACCGGCTCGAGAAAATTACACAAGAAAATGTGACACAAGATTTACGTGGTTTTGCAAATTGCTTACGTCTACAGAGTTGCTGAAGATTTTATTATTTAAGAATTATGCCTGTCGATCATGTCGACAATTACAAGAAAACTCTCTCCCTCTCTCTCCTCTCCTTCTCTCTCTATCTCCCCACCCGAGAGATATACAACCGAAGAAGTAGATTTTGAGGAGTAGCAAGCTTGGCGAATCCTTTTCTCCACCGTAAACCTAAAGGAGAAGCCACGCCCACAAGCATAAAATAAAGTGAAGAAGCTACAATTGGAGAACCTATTGCTTAAGCTATTTAAAGCCAATTATCTTCTGCTTTGAAAGGATGGCAGGACCCACTAGATGAAAGAAACAAGATTTTTTTTTTTTGTTTCCCGCTTGTTGCTTCCCCAAATACCATAAAAGGGAAGCATAAATTAATTCTCCTTTTCCAACCCACAGAAGCAAGGATTAATTTGTGAAATAACAGAGGCGGTAAGAGCTTAGAAAAGAAAGACGTGGGGTTCCAAACCGAGAAGAATATCTGACGGCACGAGAAGCTTAGTAAATGAATTAAGAGTAGATAAATTAGAATCAATTTATCAAATGATTTCTATAAATATGAAGCTGCCGTAATAGGAAGTGAATCGGGTCTCCACCTTTCTCAACATAACTCCCATGAAATATTCCCCTTTTTTTCATAATTTTAAATATTCGATTCATCATATAGTTTTTTTTTTCATTGGTCAAAAGAGAATTTATAAGTTCTTTTATGAAGTTTTACCAAATTAAATAAATCAGAATTGGTCAATTTTTAGTTCTTGATCCAATCTAATGTCGATACCTCTCTCTATTATTGTTGAAAATATAAAATAGCATCGGGACAGCTTCTAATTTTGGGATGAGTTTAAAGTGCGATATATTTATAAAGCATTATCTTTCCCCGGCCCATCTCTCCAACTGTTGCCGCGAAGTTGTTTTATTCTAAGAAATTATGATTATTTAATTTTATGATAAACATGTAAAGCCCATACTAAAGTTTGAATTAAAATGTAACATGTAAAATTAACAAAATTAAATAATATAATTTTTAAATTAGAAAGATTGAAGTAGGGATGTGAAAAGTAAACTGGCAAATATTTCCACATACACGTAAGGGCATATTCAGGTATATGTCAACGTGAATTATTGCCCACTTTGAATTTAACTTTTTTTATACATTTATTGTTATTTTATTTTTTATATTATTATCAGATTTTTTTTTTCTTAAATTTTGCCTCCCATGGACTTAAACTTGATTATCCAAACCTTAGAATCATTCAGTGATCCCAACTCAACCAAAACAAAGATAACAAAATAGACTAGTGCTGCAGTGCACGTAGATAGATACATTGCCAGAACCATAAGAAAAAAACATCTGCCTAATCATAAATTTGAGATTAAAATTAATCAGGCCAGCAACTTCCATAACATTTTTTAACTTCAAAATAAATAATTAACATCATATTCAAACGACTCATATATTTATAATAAAAACATATTATATTATATTAATTTTTTTATCATTTTATTATCCTTCAATCACTCATCTTAAAAAATTCAAACTAAGTAACTTATTAAGCTACACTTGTTCTTCATTGAAAAGTAGCAAACCATCACCTTTCCTTCTTCCGCCATGGAAGAAAGAGCAACTCCAAGCCAAAAAGACGCCGCCTTTAAGCCCAGCTCCGCCGTGAAAGGCCTCCGTTTTGGTGGCCAATTCATCACCAAATCCTTTACTGTCCGCCGCGCTACCTCGCCGGAACTCCTCCACCTCCTCAACTATCCATCCCCTGCCTCCCCCTTCCCTTCCACCATCGCTTACCTCCCAACAACCTTCACCATCCTCGCTCACGAAGCTTACCGTACCATTACTCTCGGACTCGGCTCTCGCCGTTCCAAAGCTCTGTTTTTTATCTTCGAATCCGAATCTCTCTGCTCCGCCGTCAGCCCCTCATGGACTCCACTCATCACCCTCGGCGACGTGAACCGCCGCTTTCTGCGAGGGCTAACCGGCTGCGAGATGGCGCGATTCAAGTTCAGAAAAGGTTGTCTTACCTTCTACCTTTACGCGGTGCGGCGGCGTGGAGGCGCTGGATTTAGCCGCGCCGATGATCTGCGGGCGCTGGTTGAGTCTGTTGCCGCGTTGAATGATTTTCTGGATTTTACAGCTCTGCTCGCCGCGCCGAGCCAGAAGAGTCTTGGGGACTCGCCGACGTTGGCTGTGGTTAACTGATTTGGAAAAAAAAAAGTTTCATCTTTAGCTTAAAGTTTGAATTTTTATGAGATTGATGTTCGACTGTTTAGATTGCTGTTGTTATCCTGAGAGTGGAGATTATCTCTGAAGATCCTTTTTTGAAAATTGAAGCTTTTGGGTGTGAAATATGTAATTAAAGCTGTTGTAAGTGTAATAACTTAGGGTTTGATTGATTTGATGATGATAAAAAGAAAAAGTGTAAGAAATGCACTGAAATTGTAATAAAATGTATCTGAAACATTTTAAATTTCTTTAATTTGATGTAAAATCAATGTAGGAGTTCATGTTTTTATATTAGGTTTATTGAAAAATAAACTGAACGTAGAATGTGATTGATGCTGGCATCCATTGGTGGTGATGATGGCATCCGGTGGTGGTGTTGATGATGATGGTGGTGGCGGTGATGGCAAAACTGTAAAGGCAGTGCATGATAGAGTGCAATGGTGTAGAGTATCATGTTATGACACTAGCTGCAAATTTTTTTCAATTAATAAAACTGTTTTATTATCATTGGAATCTCTCTTTAACAACTCTTTCCAATTATTATTCTCACTGCTACACCATCTTTCATCTTAAATCGTTAGAAAAATGAAATTTTTTAAAACAAAACAATCAAATTAAAAACTACTCATTTGAAACATAAAAATTAAAAAATGGATCTAAAGGCCAAAAAAGTAGCTAATTTTTTTTTATAATATGCGACTAATATAATATAATGTATTATGATTTTTAATTTAAGAAAAAAAAACTTTATAAGAAAATAATGCATAACATCTTTGACTTAAATTTTGTTTCGGATTTTAGAGTGAAAATATAAGCAATAATCCACGGTATAAAAATGAATAATTTGTTTTTTCTTAGATTAATTTTGTCAATAATTGAGGTCTTGCTAATTAAAAAAGGCTGCTTTCAAGTGTTAGGTGACCGAAACCTCAGAAAATTGCAGGGCTCATGTTCTACATGCTACCAAGTAAAATTTCAAAATAGTCCACAATTATTTATACATTTACATGCAGTCATTTTAGTCTAGAGTTTATGTAAATATCAAATTAATCATCGTATTTCTTAAGTAAGGGATAAAATAATCCCTATTTTAGAATATGCCCATACAACTGTCATAAAACTCATGTAGTATTGTATTGTAATGCACTTAAAAAGTATTTCAATATATAAGATAATACAAAATAATAATTAGATTAAATTAAGTATATTTTTCAGTCATAAGAGCCAATATTGTGGTCAACGACAATGAAGGTTCCTTCCAAGTCCGTCGTCAACGTGGCAATTGCAATACCCACACAGAAATCCTAAGAATGGCTTTCGAATTGGGCGCCGCGCCCTAACTCCCCATTTAAATTTATTTTAAAAATATAAATCTCGTTTGTATAAATGAATCTGTTATAAATTAAAAAATATATCATTATTATCAAGTTTTAAGTGATGTGTTATGCAAAAAAAAAATAATGCCGAAACAAACAAATTTACATAACAATCAAACACAAACAATTTATGCGGTTTGATTCAATTACACCCACGGAGGTGTCGCCCGGTCGTTGGTCGTCCACATGTGTGAATGACAGATAATATTTCTTATTTTATAGAGAGTTGTTTGATTTGGTTTAAAATAAATGACTAATTTATATTTTTTGAAGTAAAATGAAATAATGTATTTCAAAATAATGTGTGCCAATGGTGGAGAGTGACGGGTGTTGGCAATGGCAAAGGTGGTCCGCTATAGCAGTGGTGGCCGGCATTAGCGGTAAGCCGCGGAGGGTGACTACATTGGTGCCCAACGGTAGCTGATAGCCGCGGTTCTGCCCTACGGCAGTGCCCAACGATCGGTGATGGTGGCGCTACCCGGGGCCAACAGCGATGGTGCATGATATTGACGGTGGCCAGGCCACCGTCTGAGAATGTGATCGTTTGTGGCGGCGGCTGCCTGTCTCATGAATTTCTCTTCTTCAATTCCAGGATTTCAATTTGACTCTTCTTACAACTGTTCTTAAACTCCTTTCACCTGAGAAAATAGATTTTGTAATTTGTTACTTTTATATGAAGAAATGAAAAATGTTCCGGGACTAGCAATGAAAACTGATGGTATTTGTAAGCTTATATAAGCTTCATTCAATTAACCATTTCATGCATATGTTTACACTCAATCGACTCCCCTGATGCAAAATCCATCCAATTCAGCATAAATGAAAAAGCCGGTTAGCATGACCTTTGATAACCAACACCTTCCTAAAGAATGAACAACTAAAATTAGCTTCCAACATTCACAGAAAGAATGGTTTTTCAAATATATAATTAAGTTTTCAATTCCAAAATTAGTAATTAGAGCAAGCCCAAGAACGGCCACGATAAAAAGCCAACAAAGATATGCAGGCCATAACCCCACATACAGAAGGATGAGAAGACTAGATTGCCTGCACATATCCAAATTATGTACAAAATTGTGAATACCGCCTATAACAAACTGCAATTAAAAACCAACCAAATTCAAACCTAAAGAGCGCGACCACCAGAGCGGTTGAAATCCACACGCAATATACTCAGCAGGGACCACAACATGAATTATATAGCGTCAAAGCAATAAACTCTACAAATTACAGTCAAGCAAAAGCATTCCAAAACCAGAATCAATAATTACCCCCACAGTGCGTATGGAAACACCACCAGTTGTAATCATAAGCTCGAGAAATGAGAAAACATCAAAATCCCAAAGGGACATGAAAAACAGTCATAGTACCAGATCAATACTAGTTCATTTAAATCGAGCCCCACCTATGGGAAGTTAGATTCCCCTACATTTCTCAAGAAGAAGCCATTAAAATTTAACTGATACATCTCTCACCTGCAGAGAAGGAGAGTGGCCTATAGAGAAGAGTAGTGAGAAAGAGAGTGACCTGGAGAGAAGAAGATTAGAGGATTGAGGAGGATGAGATAGCGACGAAGCCAAAATACCGAAGAGGGAGACTATTTCGGACATTTCATTTTCCAAACAGCAGAATGCATGGCCGAGGCTGTGGAGATCTGACATTCTAAATTGGCGAAGAAATGTCGTTGTGGTCGATGCAGCTTGCGGGGATGTTGATTTTTCAAAAAGGGGTAGCTCATTTCTCCGGAGTTCTCTGCAACGAAACGGAGCTCCGCCACAGTCTCAAAAGAGGCATAACCGTGAAATTGTAGTGATAAAAATAAATTTGTTATGAGAATAATAAATTTTTTTCCCAATTGTTATGTATTTACATGTCTAACGCCTAAACTTAAATTTTATATTCATACCGCCCAAATTTTTCATCACTTAAAAAATACCGCCATTTAACTTCTAAAAAGTGAAATACACTTTTTCAAGCAAAGGAAAGGTGGCAGTGTGTAAAAATTGAAGCTTAGTTATTAGATATGTAAATACATAGGAATTGACTGGCATTCATGCAATTCTTCCTAGATTTATAAGCCTAAACTTGGACTCTATAGAAAGACAAGCAGCAAGCAGGAAT